ACTTTCTCCCTTAGAGTGGCTTGTGGGCTTGAACTTTAAGGTGCACAGCCAAGCACTTAGTTGTTTTCGTAAGAAGAATTCCTTGCAAGCTCAGCAATCAAGAAATAGCTTAAGTCACAATCACCACCTAGGTCCAGTTAAGTAGCTCAGGACTACTTACTGTTCTTAGGAAGGTGAGGAACTCAAGTCTTATTACTGAGGTTGTCTCCAGTTGTTGTGTAACTGACCTGGAATGTAAGCACATCTTTTTTCAGAAATCAGAAATGACTCCTGATAGAAATAGGTGGAGAGAACACTGAAATTTCGGTTAATGTCCTCCTTAGAGTTAAATTCTGAAAAATATAAGGATTTTATAAATCAAATCATTGTTGTTTTTAGGTGCCATTAAGTCGGTTCTGCCTTATAGCAACCCCATGAACAACAGAACAAAACACTAGGCAACCCTGTGCTAGCCTCACAACTGTTTTATGTGTGAGCGCATTGCAGCCACTGTGCCAATCCATCTCAATGGGGGTCTTCCTCTTTATCAATGGCCCTCCACTTCACTAAGCATGATGTCCTTCTCCAGGGAGAACATGTCCAAAGAATGACAAACACCGTCTCACAATCCTCACTTCTAAGGAGCATTCTGTCTGTAAATCATTACATATGCATAATTATCTTCTTTCTTTATTTTATTTTTACATTCTAAATAAAAATGAAACAATTTACTCTGTTGCAAACAATGTCTATTTCTAGACATTCACAAGAAGAGGCATAGAATAATGTGATTTATTCACTGGGATAATAGTGTGAAGATGGTGATCGTTATGTGCCATGGAGTCGGTTCCAACTCATAGCGCCCCTGCATAGGGTTTCTGAGGCTGTAAATCCTTACAGGAGCAAAAAGCCTCATCTTTCTCCCACAGAACAGCTGGTAGTTTCAAATGGCTGACTTTAAGATTAGCAGCCCAGTTCATAACCACTACACTACTAGAGCTCCTTAGTGTGAAGATTGTTGTTGTTGTTAAGTGCCATCGAGTCATATAGACCCTATGTACAACAGAACGAAATACTGCCCAGTCCTGGGCCAACCTCACTATTGTTGCCATGCTCAACTCAATTGTTGCTGCCACTTGGCCAATCCATCTCGCTGGGAGAGTTCCTCTTTTTCTCTGACCCTCCACCTTACCAAACATGAAATCTTTCTCCAGCACTGGTCCCTCCTAACAATAAGTCCAAAGTATGAGAGATGAAGTTTGGCAATCCTGGCCTCCAAGTAGCACTCTGCTGGATCTCTTCCAACACAGATCTGTTTGGTCTTTTGGCAGCCCATGGCATTTTCAATATTCCCCTCCAACACCATAACTCAAAAACATCAGTTCTTCTATGGTCTTTCTTATTCACTGTCCAGCTTTCACATGCATATGAGTTTTATGAAAATACCATGGCTTGGGTCAGGCGCACCTTACTCCTCAAGCTGACATCTTTGCTCTTGGACACTTTAAAAAGGTCTTGTGTGGCAGATTTGCCTAATGCAATACATCCTTTGATTTCTTGACTGCTGCTTCCATGAGTGTTGATAATTGATCCAAGAAGAATGAAGTCCTTGACAACTTCAATCTTTTCTCA